TTTTTTGTTGTCCAAGGTATTTCAAGCATTGTTCTGTAAAACCACATTTCTGAGGCCTCAAGAAATTGTTTAAATAGGCGGCTGAAAAGAGACAAAAGACAACCGAACGTTTTGACATAAGTCTTTATCAGTACATTTGTATTTGCAGTTTTTTTAAAACAATGTTTCCCTTTAGGGTCACAGTCTGAAAGATTAACACACAGAAACTCATGGAGCCAATATTCGGATAAGAATCAAACATGAGTAAACCCCTGAAACCCCGCTTAGCTGTATAAAACAGCCATATGCATCAGAGCATCTTGCAGTTGTTCAGTTCACGAATGCTATGTTGACGGAGATCCGTGGGGTCGTCGCCGGTGCTACAGTGTACTTGCTTTGTGGGACAGTCTCAGCAGGCGGCTAGACAGTCTGCGCCGTATGGGACAGAAAACCGGTGCAGTTTCACCCTGCTTATGTTGTAATAGCTCGATTAACCTCGTCTCTTTTCATCGCCGTAACTTTTGTATATACCGGTATTACATTTTCTCGTTAACCGCATCGAGTACCCAGGGACGTACACGGTCCTAGTTCGTCTGTCTGTCTAATCTATCTATCTATGTATCTTTCTGTCTACTTGGCTGTCTGTCTGCCCGCTCGCCTGACTTTTTTGAGATCGGTGACTTGCATTCCCTTCAGAGTCTCATAAATTATTTCTGACTCGAACATTTATCACGGATGTATCTCGACCGTGTTTGAGGTCCCACAGAACGAGGTGATCTGCCGAATGCACGCACACGTAGATCGTGTACACACACAGACACACACACACGTGGGCATGCCTAAGACACTTCTAGCCTTGGTATCTCGAGGCTCGCCTAAAATCTTCCATCCATGTTTGGTGGCCTCTAACCGAGAAACCTGCCTGCCAGCAATCGTCGTCGCTCTTCTTCCAAATTTAGATTGTAACGGCGCGGTCGAGTCCCTCTAATCTAAGTAGGACAGCACACGCAAGCATGCATGAACACAGCCAAACCGGAGCTAGTGGTGGCTCTATCGTACCCCTAGCACCGCTTCTCCCCCCATCTCGCTATTGTCTGCGCTACTAGCGCGCACATCCGTGCGTACACACACGCACATGATTTTGTCGTGTCGCCGCCGTCACCAGGACTTCTTTAAAAAAAATATCTCACTTGTTGCTGGCCTGCCCTTCAGACTTCAGTGACCTTTCAACCCTCACTCTTCAACGCAACCCTATTAGCTATGCATGCCTTATCAGGGCTAGCGTACATTTTGTACATCGCTCATACTTAACTACAGAGCAATGGAGCACTGTCAGTCGTGTGCAGTCATAGGCCTCTAGCAGTCAGTATATGTCTGGCCCTAGTGCTCAGTGGTTGGTCTGTCTGCCTACCTAGCTAGCTTTCTGTCTGCCTTTCGCCCCACCCTCCGTCTATCTATCTATCTATCTATCTATCTATCTATCTATCTATCTATCTATCTATCTATCTATCTATCTATCTATCTATCTATCTATCTATCTATCTATCTATCTATCTATCTATCTATCTATCTATCTATCTATCTATCTATCTATCTATCTATCTATCTATCTATCTATCTGTCTGTCTGTCTGTCTGTCTGTCTGTCTGTCTGTCTGTCTGTCTGTCCCTCCGTCTGTCTGTCCTTCCGTCTGGCTGTCTGTCTGTCTGTCCCTCCGTCTGTCTGTTTGTCTGTCCCTCCGTCTGTCTGTCCCTCCGTCTGTCTGTCTGTCCCTCCGTCTGTCTGTCTGTCCGTCCCTCCCTCTGTCTGTCTGTCCCTTCGTCTGTCTGTCTGTCCCTTCGTCTGTCTGTCTCTCTGTCCCTCTGTCTGTCTCTCTGTCCCTCTGTCTGTCCCTCCGTCTGTCTGTCTGTCCCTCCGTCTGTCTGTCTGTCCCTCCGTCTGTCCCTCTGTCCCCCTCCGTCTGTCCCTCTGTCCCCCTCCGTCTGTCCCTCTGTCCCCCTCAGTCTGTCCCTCTGTCCCTCTGTCTTTCTTTCTGTCTGTCTGTCCCTCTGTATTTCTTTCTGTCTGTCTGTCCCTCTGTCTTTCTTTCTGTCTGTCTGTCCCTCTGTCTTTCTGTCTGTCTGTCCCTCCGTCTGCTTGTCTGCCTATTTGTCCCATGACCTTGTTTGTCTGGCTGCCATTACTTATGTTTGCAGTTCATCCTCCTTACATTTCTAAATCAACCAAGCAGACATGTGCCGTCTACACTATGAAGGTTGCCTGCAGTAGTTCTCTAGTGCTATGTCTCCTGTCCTAGTCGTACACTCTCACTGACTGACGTTCGTCCATACCTTATATTCCCAAATGTATCGCTGCCACTGTTTGCTGTTACCTTCAACTTTTTACTCCACTATAGTGCTAGACCCTGATTTTTATTTACTACAGGGCTCTTAAAATGTGACTCAGTGAACAGTACACCGACCGCATTTACCTCTCAATACATTTCCTGGTACCCATTTAAGCTAGACACACAGGCGAATAACCACTATACTGATACGGTCCCCTTGTCATTAAAGTAATCATTATAAGCAGGTCCTCTACAGAACATTGGTCTCGTCACAAAACATTGGTCTCGTCACAGAACGTTGCTCTCGTCACATAACGTTGCTCTCGTCACGGCACGCACGAAAGTCGGTCTTTCTCTAGCCAGTTTTCCAGCTCTGTGTATCCATCTTGTATCCATCGTATATCCATCTTTCGCAGAAGAATTACCTCTGTCTTGATTACCAGAAACTACCCTGCATCACCATTCTCCCCAGACACATGACGTTTAACACTGTCTCAGCTTCCGGAGCAGGTCTCAGCTTGCGGAGCAGGACGTTGTGTGCTGCACTTCTACTCAATGTTCAGATCATGTAGGATTTCAGCTGGTTATCAAAGAGTGCTGCTTGTTGGAAATTTCACACAAAGCATGAATGAATGAATCAAGAATTGACATCACTGCAATCGGGACATTCCCACACAAGCTACACCCCAATCTTCAGTAGCGAACGAAGAGTGGACATGCTAATACTATTCCTAGTAGTCCCATTTTAAAAGTCCTACTATGACACTCCCCCCCCCCCCCCCCCCCCCCCGCCGTATTGAATAGCTTTCAGGGAAAAATATAAAACTGAACAAAAAAGTATATCAGTTAGCTTCACAAAATAACAAACAAAACGTGAATGTTGCGGCTATGGAGCCTTCTTCAGCACATACATAGATTAGACAATGCTACACAAATACACAATATCACTTAGAGTTTGCATACAAACAAGCCAGATCTGTAAAACAGAGGTGCACGCAACATCTTCATATCTTGTGGCAGCCAGGTCGATGTCAAGACAGTAGCCTGGATTCTAAATATCTTCCAGAACCTCAACCCCCCCCCCACCCTGCCCCACTTCCCCGTTGAATAAGTCTTTCAGTATATGACTATATGTATTCTCTTGTCTGTTCTGTTGCATCACATCACATGAAACTAAACTCGTAACCTTCAGAGAGCAAGGGAAATCAGCTTACAACTTTCTTAGTGCGCAGTCTTCAAAGGCTCACCTAATCATAGGACACACAGGACATTTTCTGGCGAATTACATATGTGTAGAAGATCAGCTTAAATTGTTTATATCTGCAAAGCTCTCTCTTCTTTTGTAATTGCGGCCCGTAAAGTTTGACTTCCACAAGTGTCTCTTTTGGCAAAGTTTTGCTCGTTGAATATGGGACCGGATCATAGGACACATGGCCGATGGCCAAACATGTGGGAGCAGTCTAGTGCCCTAAGGCGACTTGCTCTGGTCTGTCCATAATTGGTAATCAACTGTGCCAGTTTCGGTGGCATTCTGATTGATTTGATCATTCTCTTCTTCTGTTGATGGACTGGTATGTCAGGTTGTTCTTCAGTTGTAGAAGATATCAAATGGTTGAAGAAAATATTCCAGGTGGCATAGGAGAATTAAGAAACACCATCAGATTGGCAAACTGCTGTCATCGTTCCGCTAAGGAAAAATAAAGGAAGTAAGAGGGACTACTAATTACGGAGGATTATCGCTTCTTGGTCACATTGGGAATATGTATGCTAAAATCATCGATAGAAGACTAAGACCAATGAAAGAGTATCAACTTTCTGAAGCACAGATGGGCTTTCGACCCAGTAGAAGTTGCACAGATGCCATCTATACATTAAGACAACTATCAGAGAGAGCAAATAACATGATAAGACCTGTTGGTTGACATTCGTAGACCAGGAAAAAGTCTTCTGTTAAGTCTACAGGAATATGTTGTGGGGATGTATGTGGTAAAAGGGAATCAGCATTCATCTCATTAATATTTAAAAAAAGCCTATACACACGTAGTAAATGCTGCATAAGATCGAAGGCAGGATTGTCAAAAACTTGGATAGTGAACTCTAGTGTGCCTCAGGGCTGTTTACTATCACCACTTCTTTTTATCACATACATGGATACTATATGTATAAGGAAACAAACTTTGATCAGGAAGAAGATATTACAGAATTATTATTCACCGACAACCAGGTACTCATAGCAGAAAGTACGAAATGCCCACAGAACTACTTAAATCAAATTAGTAACAAAGGGGAGGAATATAATATGAAAATAAACACTACTAAGACAGAGATAATGGTGATAGAAACTGAAAGATAATTTAGGAATAAAATTAAAAAACGTCTTGAGACAACAGAGGAATTCAAGTATTTGGGAGCAATTTTCACTCTCCGATGGAAAACTGGACTGAGAAATTAGCGCCAGATGTACCAAAGCTAATCAAGTACTGGGCAACTATCTCCCCTGTTGACACACAAGCAGATATTATATTTAATGTTAACTTAAAAAGTTGAAATAAGCAAAATTTGCTTCATTGCAGGTGAAACTGTGGAAGAAGCTGATAAAGTTAGTCCAGACAAGAGTGTGTCCCTGTCCATAGCTTTGGTCAGTCAGAAACCAGATAACAGTCTAGTTGAAGAAGATGATGCTGTAGAAGATTCAATGGATGACGGAAATGGGGACAGTGAAGATGGCAGTCTGATGATAGCAGATATGCATGTAAGTAAATGTTCTTGGGTTGGTTGCTGGTTTGATTGTAGCGATTTTCTTGGGGTGTTTGATTGCTAGTGATTTATTGGGGTTGTGGTTTATTGTAAGTGATTTTTTTGGGGTGGTTAATTGTAGCTAATTTCCATGCGGTTTGTTGATTTTAAGCTATTTGCTTGAGGTGGTTTATTGTAAATAAGTTTCCTTGGGTGATTGATTAAAACTACTTTTCTTGCAGTGATTGATTGTAAGTAGTTTTTTTGGGGGTGGTTTATTGTAAGTAATATTTCCTGGGATGGTTGCCTAAGTAATTTCCTTGAGGTGATTGATTGTAAGTAACTCTTTTTGGGTGATTGATTGTGAGTTATTTTCTCGGGATGGTTGACTAAGTAATTTTCTTGGGATGGTTTATTATAAGTAATTTTTTTAAGTAATTTTTTTGGGATAGTTGATTATGAGTAGTTTCCTTGGGATGGTTAATTATAAGTAATTTTCTTGGAATGGTTAATAAAAGTATTTGTCTTGAGAAAAGGAAAAGACACTTGGGCAAATGCAGCCACATTTGCTTCTGATGTCTACGAAGGGTTCCAGAACAAACAGGAAACTATGGCGGTAGGACTGGATCTCGAGGATGCTTATAACAGAATGAGATACGACATCTTAATGACTGCACTAAGGGAGAAGGAGCTTAGTCCATGGCTGGTGAATTGGGTTGCAGCTGTCCATTATTTACGTCGGGTTGCTCTCCGACTGGGCTCATGGACCTCAGAACCATGCTATTGAGCCCCAGGACTGCCACAGGGATCCGCCATCTCGCCTGTGCTCTTCAACGTGTATACGAGCAAGATTGCAAGCCTAGAAGCACCAGGAGTTGGAAGGATACTGACTTTTGCAGATGATATGCTTGCATATAGGCAGGGGGAAGAAAGGAAACAAACAGCTCGGGAGCTACAAGCGACAGTAGACAAAGTGACTGAGTGGTGTACAGAAATTAGGGCTGTCGTCCACCCGGAAAAGGCGTCTGTTTTGTGGTGTTCTCTGGACAACAGAATCATTAAAACTAATGTCCCAAGTCTCACGATAGATGGTAGAAATGTCAACAGAGAGAGCAAACTGAGGTATCTGGGAATTACATTTGACAGGAGCCTGTCATTAAAGGACCATGTGGAGAGTGTTGTGACGAGATGCCAAAAAAGACTTAGTGCACTTAAGACTATTGCTGCAATTGACATAGAGCAGAGAATGCTTTTCACACTATATCAGCACCTGATCCTGTCAGTGGTGGATTATGGCCTGGGACTGCTTACCGTCTCAAAGAGTCAGATGGACAAACTAGAGCGCATACAGAACGCGGCTATGCGGGTCATTCTGGGTTGCACCAGAAACATCCCAGTGGTGTGTATGCGATACATCCTTGGTTTGCTGACTGTTGCAGGTAGGCACAAGGTGCTGCAGGCGAAGCCATATCTCAGGGTAGCTGCAGACATAGACCACCCTTTACATGAAGCTATGGGTGCAGTTAAGGGTCAGCGGCTGATAAGAGGGAGGTCATGGATGGTTCAGGCAGAAGTCACAATCAGACAGGTTTGCATACTTGAGAACATTAGGCGAGGAGAGGAGTGGGTCAAAGTGCCACCTGAGAAGTCAGACTTGTGTAGAGTCATAATCACGCTGAGCCGGGAATGCAGAGACTGGCCAGCAGGTGCCACAGAGGTGGAAATTCAGCAATTAATTCAAGATAATGTTCGCTCACAGAGGATTTGATCATTTACACAGACGGTTCAGTGTCAAGAGGCAAAAGAAGTGCTTGGGGCTTCTTAGCAAAAGTTAATGGTCAACGTTTGGTGCAGGAGAGCCTAGCATATGATACCACAACATCCATCTTAAGAATGGAGGTGGAGGCGGTCACTCAGCTTTCCGCTGGCTAGAGAACATGACACACACACACACACACACACACACACATCGTGATTGTAACTGATTCAGAAAGCATGCTGAGGAAGATCAGAACAGGTATGCTTCGTGCAGAGTGGCATGCTTCGCTGAGGAGGACACGGGTGAGGAGTATTGTCTGGATTTTTTCACCCGGTGACACTGGTGTGTTAGGAAATGAACAGGTGGACAGACTGGCTGGCTATGCACAACTTAGTGGAATACTGCTACATGATAGGGCAGACGTGGTTGCCTTGTGGGAGAGCGTGTACAATTCGGAGGAGCAGATGGATCACCAGTCTGGTGAGATTGATGCAGTTGGGTGGGACGAGAGGTTCTAGCAGATGCTCGAGGCTCAGCGGAAAGGCAAGACCGACGTTTAATCAGAAAGCTACTGGCACCATTAGTATCAGAACTCTTCGCTGGCTGCTGAAGATGGAGTCGGAGCGCTTATGGGAATGCCCCAAGTGCTGTGATGTTGGTTCTTAAATCAAATCAAATCATGTCTTGGGATGATTGGATTGTAAGTAATTTGATTGGGGTGGCTGATTGTAAGTCAGTTTTCCCCGAGTGGGTTCCGGGGCTCTACTATAGGGAATACAAGAATAGACTCACTGCCTACCCAAAAGCATGCCGTAATAGTCGACTTTTTGGGAGCTTCCTTGGAAGTGGGAGTGCATCTGCCTGAAAGGCAAGGAACCAGCAGTCTGCATACAAATTAGTCAGATCTGTCAAACGGATGCACACGCAACACTCAGGTTCTGGAACAGGACTGCAGTTTAGAGGTGGATGAACAACCAGAACTTTCCGCCAGAGTTTACAGCTGGCGAACACAAACGAAGAAGAAGAAGAAGTAAGTCATTTTCTTGGGATCGTTGATTATAAATAATTTCCGTGGGGCAGAGTATGATTAATTTCCTTGGAGTTATTATTTGTAAGTAATATTCTTGGTGTGGTTTGTTGTATGTAACATTCTTGTGGTGGTCTGTTATACTGTTATAACAAATTTTGATGGATAATTGATGGCAAATAGTTTTCTTTGTTGTTGTTAATTGTAATTTTCTTTAGATGGTTGAATGTGTGAGTAATTTCCTTGGAGTGATTGATTGTAATAAACATTTTTAGGATGGTTTATTTTCAGTAATTTCTGTGGGTGTTTAACTGTTATTTTCAGCATATTTTTCTTAACCTCTTGATTCCCTGGAATTTGTTGAGTTCTTTCCCAGCCTCAGCATTCCATAACTTGATTTAATTCCCCCTGCTCTTGCGGGCACCAGATAATGAATGTCTGCAGATAATTAGTAACTTAAAAAAAAAAATTATATACATTGAAGCCCCACACAGCAGTACCGATTTGTTCTCTAACACAGTTTGCTTGTTGCCTTCAACAGGAGGGAAAAGACACTGATGATACAGACAAGGAGTCTGGACATTCTGAGGAGGTAAGTTTCATGAGTGGCCCCAACCTGTCAGATATCTGTATATGCTCTGAGAGGTCTCCACAGCTGCGCCTTTCAGTTCATGAGTGCAATTTTTACGGCGATCATCACTGGCACTGCAGAGTTCGTGCTCTGTGCAGTGCTTTCGGCAGGCGGCTAGCTATGTGGGGTAAAACCTGGCACAGCAAAGGTGATCCTCTCAACATTTAACCTTTAACCTATATGCTGTTCTTTTTTCTGCCCTTTATCCCCTGAATCAACTCAGAGTCATCCTACCCTATGCTATATTGTGTAGCTCACCCCATGACCTCCCCATCTTTTTAACTGCACACTCTAATTCTGGCTGATGCTCAACACTCTGGGAAAACCCGAGAAAGATATACAATCAGACAGTTACTGGTACCATCGGACCTCTTTCCTTGTTGCTGAAGATGGGGACAGAGCACTTATAGTAGTGTCCTGAGTGATATGATGTCAATACTTTATTCAAAGTTTAACATACAACTCTAATTCCCTTCTCTGTGTGTTATTTGGTTTGCCTTTTTTTCTGTGAACCTGTGGGTTTCAATGTAAGGACATTTTGTCATATTGTTAGGTTTTCTTGATTGTTTCCTATCCAACAGCAGCATCTTTTCTTCACCTCTTGATTCAGTGGATTATTTTAGTTCTGTCGCAATGCTCCACATTAGTCATTACCTTTATCATAACCGAATTCATTGCAAATTCTATGTTTTACTTTGGAACATTTTCTTTCTTACATTATTTATTTTTTAAATGTTTTTTTTAAAAAGACTATTGCTTTTTTTTCCCTGCAGGTTTTTCTTTCTTGCTCGAGTTTATTACTTGTTCTTTTTATGACATTTTGTATATGTGTTTGTGCGTGTTACTTGTTCTTTTCTTCATGTTCTTTTTTCGTGTTCTTTATTATTGGGTGATCTTATTCTTTCATCCTGTGTTGCTTGTCATTTCTTACCCTATTATGATATTTCTTACTCTCTTCCTTATTTAAAACCCTTATGTATTGTTTATAACTTTGTTGCTGATCCCTTGTACTCTATTTCAAATCATTTTTATTTTTACTTGGCTGCTTGTTTATTCTTATACATAACTTACGTAACAGCTTTATTGATAAAATACAACTGCTGTGTGAAAGATGGGTGTTTGGAAGGGCCAAATGTGGACCCGCATGCCCAATTTGTGACTCTTTAAAAATAAAGTTAGTTCGTTTGTTGTTACTTTTCAATTCTCATCTCACCTGATCAAGCAGTGACTTCCCTTTTTAGGCAGCATCCGCCATAGTGGAGATTAACCATTACAGTACCACTATTTATGTTATAAAATTAACACATTTAACAGGAAGAAGAACAGGCACAGCTTGTCTTCAATGGCACCATGACACGTAGACAGTCCAAGCAGTTCCAGGACTCCGGCAGCAATTTTGCAGTGTTTTCAGTACGACCAGGTGGCAAGTCAAAGAACCGGACCTGCGAGTACTGTGGAGTTCTTAAAGCCACTCCTGCGGCCCTCATTCGACATATACGCAAACATACAGGAGAGAAGCCTTTTGTGTGCCAGGTGAGTAGGTTTGATTCTAGAGGATCGACTTTATTGCCTCAAGTTATCCCATATAGCTCCGTCTCTGCAGAAAAGCTACCATCTACTGAGAGCACTGCACAAAGCACAAACTCTGCAACTCCAGCAGTGATCCCAAGTCCGCAGGTTTTTCTGTAAAAAACTGCACTTGTGAACTGACGTCGTATCTGTGAAATAAATCCGTGACCCCCAGAGCACATAGCAGATGGCTTGACCTCTTTGCCATAGAGACCCCAAGTTAATTTGTATGTTGAACAGTATAGTATCCACCATGTATACCATGACTTAGAACAGGGCTATTCACCTGATGGTCCACTGACCAGATTTAGCCCACGGAGGCCTAGCAAGTGGTCTACGGATCATTACCTGTTTTATGGTATTCATGATCCCTGATGGAACCAGGCTTTCTTCAGAAATGACCTTGGCTCCTAGGTCAACCCAGTCTTGAATAGGTACCAGGTGCGGTCCTGGGAAGTAAAGGCAGGTGGCGAGATGTTGAGCACATCACCCAGCAAGTGCCGATTGGTCTATAAAATATAGGTCTAGCCGTATATACTCAATGCGCTTGAAGGTGCGGAAAATGGTCCTTTTCCTTTTTTATTGTATTGATTATCATTCTGTGATTATCATCAATGATGGTCCCCACTTTCAAAATTGTGGCTCCTAAGTAAACTTAGTGGAATAGTCATGAACTAGAATATGAGAAGGCCTGATATTTCACATCTTAGTGGCTGTAACTGTTATGGGATTACCTGTCTCTATACATCTGAAAACAAAGAGCTTTAGGGAGAGATCTGTCCAACTACATGATCTCTGATCATTCATGGTGTGGCTTCACTCTGTTCATTCATGGTGTGGCTTCACTCTGTTTATTCATGGTGTGGCTTCACTCTGTTCATTCATGGTGTGGGGTAAAGGGGGTCGGGGGATCCTAATCTAATTCTTTTGGCATTTTATAATAAACAGAAAACTGGAGTATATTAAAACAAAGGAAAATTAGAGGTGAAGAGTGGTAGAGGAAGACAAGGAGAGAAGATGCTCGATAGTTTGGCAGCATGATATGGAAGAGCATCGCTATCAGAAATAGACAGTACATGTGGCAGAAGGTTGTGACAGTTATGATTGCCAGTTCTAGGAATCCAGCACACACCCTGAACCATATACAAAAACGATTTGAATCATTAAAAGTAAGACAAAGTGTAATGTGAAACCAGTGTTGTGGCTTTTGTCTTGATCCTGGATAATTAGTCGTAGTCGAGATTTCAACTTCACTGTAGTCAGGTTCCCCATACTAACTCCGTTCCTGTGCCTGTGAAAATCAAATGAAATGTCCCTCACTGTCGCATTTGAAAAACTGGTGAACAAACAATTAGTCTCGGAGCAATCTTGAAATATGCAAACACACTGAATGCATTTTTCAGTTGCTATAGGCACCAGAACCAACAGTCACCATCAGAAATGCACTTTGTCTTTGGTGGAAGTAGTCAGGCACGATAAGTTGGCTGTACACAGGTAGAATTATTGCATGTGGTATTTCACCAGCTCATGTGTAAACTGACTACCATCCATATTTTATACCACAACACTGCCACTGCACAAATGAAAGGCATTCCATAGAGGGGGGGGGGGGGGGGGGAAAACCACAGCTCACAGTGCTGCATTAAGCACCAAATTTAGTAGCTCAGGCAGCAAAACTGTAGACTACCGTCCATATGTGGAAACTGCATTAGGAAAATGCTGTCAGAAGCAAAAATAACTTAAAAGTTTAACATTCTGCTAATCCTACATTTTAGGCCGGAAGCCATATTCTGGACAATAAGTAAACAGTGTGGATTCATAGGCCCTATTGTGGGGGGGGGGGGGGGGGGGGGGGGAGAATAAACGTATTTGCCCCCCCCCCCCCCCCACCCCCCCACCCCACCACCCCAACAAGTTGATCGATAAAATTTGCCAATTAGGGGTTCTTTCTTCGAAGTTGGAGTACATCTGCCTGAGAGATGAGGAACTGACAGTCTGCATACAGATTTGTAAAGTGGTTATGCATGCAGAACTAAAGTTCTGGAACAGGACTAAAGTCGAGGTGTGAAGGAACAACCAGAACTGTCCTGCTAGAGTTTACAGCTGGTGAACGTAAAACAGTCAAGAAAATCCTTCTAAGTTTGACAAGTATGGTTAGACAGAAGAAAAGCAATTCTTAAAGCTTCACTAAGTGACCAAAATAAAAAAAAAAGTCAACATTTTAAGATAGGCCAAACTATCTGTTCTGTCTGTACAGTTGATTTCTGCATGGATAGGCACACATATAAGGATTGTATCTTTTCAAAAGACTGCAGTACTAAAGTAATTAGTCGTCAAGATCCTATTGTCACAGTTTGATTCCTTTTCTCATGCAGCTGTGTGGTAAGGCATACAAAGCCAAGAGGAGTCTTCACATGCACCAGAATTCTCACCACAGAGAGTCGGGGCAGATGCTGCCTCCGAACCCATCTTCCTTGCCCACCCAGGTACCCATCACGTCACCTGTTCTAATGGTAAGCAACTATGCTGCATTTGTTTACTGGCAATTTGGTCAGTGGCTTAGGGATGATGAATGTATTTCCTTGATTCCAACATACCAGGGTTTGGAAGTCAGCTGCATGTGAATTGTCAGTAGACCATGTCTTATTCTCTTCTTTCTTCTTCCTGTTCACCGACTGTGAGCTCTGGCAGAAAGTCTTGATTGTTAGTCCATTTAGACATTTGGCCTTGTTCCAGGACCTGAGTTTTGTGTGTACATCCATTTTACTGTGTTCCCTTCCTCTCAGGCAGGTGTACTCTGACTTCGAAGGAAGACGTCGATCCTCAACATGGTTACGAAGTCACATGTAGTCCAGTCTAGGACTGTTCGCAGTCCTCCTCCTTTTTATTCCACTTCTTCTGCAAACTGAATTTGCTGTGTGTCTTTTTAGTAGGAGTGACAAACAAGGTAGTCTTCTTCTTCGCGTTTACTGGCTGTAAACTCTATTCTGGTTGTTCATCCACTTCTGGCTCTTGTTCCAGTACTTGAGTTTTGTGTGCACATCTGTTTCACAGATCTGGCTGGTTTCTATGCAGAGTGTTAGTTTCTTACCTCTCAGGCAGATGCACTGTAACAGAAGGAAACTCTTATGACAGGCTTTTTAGGAAGTCAGTGGGTCTACCCCCCCCATCACAATGGTGCCTAAGAACCTGCAAGGGCAGGGGGGGGAGTGTATATATTTTGTCTTGTTGGGTTGCTCCTGTATGATGGATTTCCAGTGCCTGATAGAGCCTGAGCTTTCTTGTAAAACTTGCTCTGGGGTTTTCTTTCATGCTCCACATTTGTATGAGTCATTAAAGCCATTATGGTGGGGGTGTGTTCTCAGTTTACAGTGTTGCAGATATCGCACTTATAATAAACACAACACCACATGCCAACAACCCTTTTAAAGAGTGAGGACTGAAGAAGAAGAAATGAAACCATTGCAGATAAAATTCTGTATACCACAGTGTTGGTGAGATGGCTACTGATGACAATATCCCTGTGTCATTACTGTTTTATAAATTATTCATAGTCTTTCTTAGGCATCTGTTAATCATGGTTTTTCTTTGGCTCAGCAAACTTCCCCAACACCTGCCATCTCTGAGGCGACCAAGTCCCTACTGAGAGAAACCCTGGAGTCAAGTCGTAAAGCTCGAGATGGAGTCCAGATGTCGGATTCGTTAGTTAGCACAGTTAGTTCATCTCGGGTCAGCGAGAGGCTGCCCACACCAAACCTGGTCAATCTTCTGACCTCGGATATTTCTAAAAAGATGCAGAATTTTGATGAGCCCATTTGCCTTGCTAAAGGGGCTATCAACCTGTAAGTTTTTAAAATCTTGATTTATGTTTGTTTTCCATCAGATTTAATTAATAGAGTGGCAGCAGTGTTCAGCATGCTTAATCACTTTCCTGAAGCTGCAAAATCAAACTAGCCACTAAAAAATCTAAAATTGTGTTTACATAAGTTGGTTAATTCAGTTGCCTCTGGTTGGTTTTCTGGCTTTTGCAGGTTTTTGTTGCCATGGTGTTTTTGGGCAGTGTCCACTACGCTTACAATGCAGCATTGATATTGGTTGCAGTTGCATATATTTTTGTGTGTGTGTGCAATTTTCTGTATGTGTGTGTGTCATTGTGAAGTCATAATGACATAAATTGTATCCATGAGGCTGTATCAGCAAAACAGAATTGTTACTGTAAAAAGGAATAAAAGCAATTAATTTTTTGCTTCATTTATATTTGATGATAACTTCCCTTGTATAAAAAAATACCTTTATGAGTAAAACATAACAAAACTATTTTGATAGCAGTGATGTTGCAGTTGACCATAAAGCTTTCCTGTCTGCTTGATAGCCGTCGGTTCTTTTTCCTCAATTTTCAAAATAAAAACTGATCAAAGACCAATATTTTTCTCTTTCTCTAGTTTCTCAGGGTAGAGTTTCAGTGAATTCTGCTTCTTCTTCATGTTTACTGGCTGTAAACTCCGGCAGAAAGTTCTGGTTGTTCAGCCACCTTCAGACTTCAGACTTGTTCCAGAACATGGGTGTTGCGTGCACATCCATTTTACAGATCTGGCTTATTTGTATGCTGACTGTTGATTCCTTGCCTCTCAGGCAGATGCACTCTGACTTTGAAGGAAGGTCCTAATTAGTTGACTCCTATGACATGCTTGTTGGGGAGGCAATGGGTCTGTTCTTGTTTTCCCCATAATGTGACCCCAGAACCCACACAGGGTTTTCAGGGAATTAAAATGTGTTTAACATTTTTTGTGTCAAATAATGTATTAAGATTTTTGCAATGCGGGTTGTGTTGATTCATGAATCTCACTGTTTGGGGTGCAAGGCCTCGTTGTGGTAAGAACAGACCTACTGCTTCCCAGAAAGCATGTCCTAAGAGTCGACTAACTGGGAGCTTTCTTCATAGTTGGAGTGCATCTACCTGAGAGGCAAGGAACAACCAGCTGCACACAAATAAGCCAGTATAATGGATGCACATGCAAAACTCAGAAGCCAAAGTCCAAACTGACGTAACTACCAGGACTTTCAATTAGAGCTTACAGCTGATGAACAAAGAAGAATCAAAAGATTCAAGAACTAACATCACAGCACTCTGGGCATTCCCATAAGCGCTGTGTCCCCCACCTTTAGCAGCCAGCCCAGAGTCAATACCAGTGGTGCCAGTAGCAGTCTGAATATATGTTCATCTTACCTTTCCTCTTGAGCGTAGACTATCGGCCAGATCCCTTTGTCACTCCTCGCTGCATCACTTTCACCAGACTGCGATGATTAATTTGCTGTTCCAAATTGTACACATTCTCCCATATGGCCGTAACTATGACTGCCTGATCGTGCATCGGTATTCCACCAAGCTGTACAGATCCAGCCACTCCGTCCGTTTGTTCTTAAAAGGTCAAAGTAGTCCTCTGGCAGATACTGCTGTTGGGGTGCAAAGGGCTAGGCCTTCGCAGATTCTAGGCCATGACACATAACGTTGGGTGTGTCCACTTTTCTTACTCATCACTTTTCTTTTCTGTTACTGCTCAAACAGATGTATGACTCCACCTCTTGGAGTGGGATACCATTAAGAGAAACCACAACACTATTTGCCTGATTTATTCTTATTAACCTTGTTTTTTCCAGAATGGATTTTTAGTCCTAGCTGTTGTAATCTTGTATCAAGCACATTTAATTTGTCATGCTGCGATACACTAGAGGCAGTGAAAGAGAAAGTGAAGAAGAAGCAGTTCCTTGTTTTTTGTGTGACATGGGTTGACCACGGTGTTTAGAAAACCAAATCCTGCAACCTCTGGGGATTAAATGTTTAATTAAGAATCAACATCGCAGCACTCGGGGCACTCCCGTAAGTGCCCAGTCCCCATCTTCAGCAGCAAGTGAAGAGTTCCAATTCCAGTGGTACTAGTAACCATCTGATTATATCTGTCTCATCCTTCCCCTGGGTGTTGAGCGTTTGCTAGATACCCTGGTAACTCCTGGCAGCGCCATTCTCCACAGAGTGTGATGATTTATCTGTGCCTACGCACTGTTCACCTGTTCCCAAAGGGCCCTACAATATCTAACTTGTCATACATCAGTTCACCACCAAGAGGTGTAGACCCAGTCAGTCTATCTGCCTGCTCATTTCCCAACACACCGGCATAACCTGGAAAAAATATCCAAAGGATGCTAACTACCCGAGACCTCTGAAGTAATGCTTGCCACTCTGCATGAAGCATGCCTGTTTTCACCTTTCTCAACATGCTCTGTGAGTCAGTTACAATCACAGCATGTGTGTACAACTGATTCTCAAGCCAGCGGAAGACAGCAGAGACTACCTTTGGGAAGTAGAAGAAGAAGAAGAAGCTACTTGTACAAATAAGCCTACATAAATAACTATTGATCATTGAATTCTTCTCTCATTCTCAGATCCAAAGATGCTACAGACATCAACACAAACTATATCAATATTACCCTCCCAGTGATAAAGCAGGAGAAGCAGGAGGAGAAGTTTGAGAATGAGGTGGAGGAGGAACAAGCACAGGACTTGAGCATGCCAACAATGCAGAAGGCTGCTTATGTTCGACACATCTCACCTGAGAAGAGGATCAAATGTGAAGTGAGTAACTAAAGAAGAATGTGGATAGGTTAAATAAAAACAAATTCAGAATTTCTAAAATACCATATTTTTGTGTGTATAAGACTAAAGCAGCATCTGTGGCTTAGGCGTTGCGAGTCCGACTCGTATTTCCAACGTACCGCAATCGAAACCCGCTGCTGGCTATCATCTGGAAAGACAAAAAGGCACCAGCAACAATAGAAGTAACTGTAGAAATGATTTAGTTATTATTGAAGGGAGTTAGAATAGAATTGAATTGATATGGAAGTGAGTAATTATAGAAGTGGTTAATTGTGGAAGTAAGTAATTATAGAAGTGGTTAATTATGGATGTGAGTAATTATAAAAGTGATTAATTATGGAAGTGAGTAATTATAGAAGTGGTTAATTATGGAAGTGAGTAATTATAGAAGTGGTTAATTATAGAACTGAGTTATTAAAGAAGTGGTTAATTATAAAGGTGAGTAATTATAGAAGTGGTTAATTATGGAAGTGAGTAATTATAGAAGTAGAAGTGGTTAATTATGGAAGTGAGTAATTATAGAAGTGGTTAATTATGGAAGTGGGTAATTATAGAAGTAGTTAATTCTGGAAGTAAGTAATTATAGAAGTGGTTCATTATGGAAGTGAGTAATTAAAGAAGTGGGCTATTATGGAACTGAGTTATTAAAAAAGTGGTTAATTATAAAGGTGAGTAATTATAGAAGTGAGTAATTATAGAAGTAAAAGTGGTTAATTATGGAAGTGAGTAATTATAGAAGTAGAAGTGGTTAATTATGGAAGTGAGTAATTATCAAAGTGGTTAATTATGGAAGTGAGTAATTATAAAAATGGTTAATTATGGAAGTGAGTAATTATAGAAGTGGTTAATTATGGAAGTGAGTAATTATAGAAGTGGTTAATTATGGAAGTGAGTAATTATAGAAGTGGTTAATTATGGAAGTGAGTAATTATAGAAGTGGTTAATTATGGAAGTGAGTAATTATAGAAGTGGTTAATTATGGAAGTGAGTAATTATAGAAGTGGTTAATTATGGAAGTGAGTAATTATAGAAGTGGTTAATTATGGAAGTGAGTAATTATAGAAGTAGTTAATTATGGAAGTGAGTAATTATAGAAGTGGTTAATTATGGAAGTGAGTAATTATAGAAGTGGTTAATTATGGAAGTGAGTAATTATAGAAGTGGTTAATTATGGAAGTGAGTAATTATAGAAGTGGTTAATTATGGAAGTGAGTAATTATAGAAGTGGTTAATTATGGAAGTGAGTAATTATAGAAGTTGTTAATTATGGAAGTGAGTAATTATAGAAGTGGTTAATTATGGAAGTAAGTAATTATAGAAGTGGTTAATTATGGAAGTGAGTAATTATAGAAGTAGAAGTGGTTAATTATGGAAGTGAGTAATTATAGAAGTGGTTAATTATGGAAGTGGGTAATTATAGAAGTAGTTAATTCTGGAAGTGAGTAATTATAGAAGTGGTTCATTATGGAAGTGAGTAATTAAAGAAGTGGTTAATTATAGAAGTGAGTAATTAGAAGGTGGTTAATTATGGAAGTGAGTAATTATAGAAGTGGTTAATTATGGAAGTGAGTAATTATAGAAGTGGTTATTTATGGAAGTGAGTAATTATAGAAGTGGTTAATTATGGAAGTGAGTAATAATTATAGAAGTGCAGTAATTATGGAAGTGAGTAATTTATAGAAGTGGTTAATTATGGAAGTGAGTAATTATAGAAGTGGTTAATTATGGAAGTGAGTAATTATAGAAGTGGTTAATTATGGAAGTGAGTAATTATAGAAGTGGTTATTATGGAAGTGAGTAATTATAGAAGTGGTTAATTATGGAAGTGAGTAATTATAGAAGTGGTTAATTATGGAAGTGAGTAATTATAGAAGTGGTTAATTATGGAAGTCGAGTAATTATAAAAAGGGTTTATATTATGGACGTGCGTATTATAGTATTATAGATCTATAATTATTCCCAGTTGTTTGGGGTT